GTGGAATAAACTTAATGGCTTATGGGACATTTCCAAAATAAAAATTCATGTTGAATCACAAATAATAGCTTGGCTGTAATCTCAGGAGTCTAATTATGAAATGGATGTGGAATCATTCTGTAATTATTTAGAAAGTTCATTTCAGCAGCCCAGAAATTCTCTCTCTGTTTACTATATATCATCACAAGTACTCTGTGGTTATTTGTAACATCTACTCAGAAGAGCGCATGAATAAGAGAGGCAATTTTAAGAAATGGAGACGGATCCATGCCTTTTATAAGTCAATGGAGTCATGCCAGGGATGAATTGAGACCAGGTTCCTCAACAGAGTTAAATTATTTCTAGCCAGTCCCAATGGAGCAGAAATCACTCTGCCCTGCAGTGGGGATGTTCTCACCACAATGCAAAACCCTACTACACGTTCTGCTCAGTGTTTCTGTCTTTGCCTTAGCGAAGAACTCAGTTCAAAACCAGTACAAACCCCTACACACTGTGGATTTGAAACCGGTGCCATGGCTCCAGGAAGACGATCATCACTCAGAAGTGCCTGTTATATCAACAAATAAAGCCAGGGCTCTGCCTTCAGAAATGGACTTTGTTGTGCTGGATCAGATGGCTGCATATGATATTACCATGCCTAATCTACTTTTTGCAAACAGTAGCAACCCAGGCCTGCAGTTCCTGGATGGGTGGCCCCAGGCCTGCCTATCTGCATCAAGGGGGAGCTTATAGATCTGTGTGATCCTGAAAATTTCCAGCCCAGAGTGGTAATATCTAAAGGGCAAAGAGAAGGTTTCACTGAGAGGATAACCTTGTGAGTCCTTCACGGAGCATCACAAGGACTGTTGATGTGTGCTTTGCACTGACCACACTGCCCTTTCTTGAGGGCAAACGCGCCTGGGTACACAGCTCTTTGGGCATCACAGGAATTAACAACTATATGGAAAGGAAAACTGATTGCTTTCAGCGTAGCTGGCTATACACGCCAAGTGTTATCAGACCATCTGCCCATTCAATGCTCTGTCTCCATTATGCTTTGTTGTTGACCTTTTTTTTCCCCAACTCCACAAAAAAGTCCCATTTTGGAGTGACCATCAGATGAGAGATTAACCATGACTCTTCTGGTCATGGAATACACATGGAAATGTATAGTCCAAATGGCTGATATTGGTCTTGAGGTTGGGATGTATACAGTGTTTTCCTCCCTGGAAGGTCTGAGGAGCAGAAATGGTGCCGTATGACACCTCATGGGTGTCCCACACCTTTCAGCAGTAAATCTGTTTGTCCAGAGGCAGAAAAAGGGAAGAAGGCACACAGCTAATTATTCTCTGTGGGGCAATTTGCCTTTTTACTTCCTGATGTATTCCCTGACTGGTGGAAAATCATTCTTGGCAAACACAAAACTTACCTTGCTGCCAAAAGGTGCATGTCTCAATTATTCATCAAGAGCACACAGAACCACAAAAGGTGGAATATTGAACAAAGGCTCAATTGACACTCTGGAAGTTGAAGAAGATATGGAAGACTCCCTTCTAATTTATTTATGCCTTTTCTGTTCTGTTATCCTGATATGCTGCTTCCAGTTACCAGTGCACCCCACGCTGTATGGTATTACGTGATTTTGTTTTCAGATTGTTGGAGATAAAGTTACTTCATTATTAATATATATGCACTGTGCATATCTATAAATATTGAATACATACGTGTGTGTAAACCTACTGGAAGTGTTAATAGTTAAGATAAACTAAGACCATTATCGCAATGAGTGACTATTTCTATGACCCTATTTGCAATAAAACTAGATTCAATGATATGAGAAAATTGCTAGGTTTCAAAATAATTGAACCAGGCCAGACAAATCCCCACAAAGGCATCATTTACAAAGTACTTTGCTTGTCTAAAATATTTATTTCTGCAGAAGGAAATGGAAAAAGGGTTCATGTGGTTACACAGCTATCCTCTGAGCGTAAAATTGTTTTATCATGTTATGTTTATTTCCTAGACATCTTCCATTGGGTTATTGCAGAAAAATACTGGCTGTGCAGTTAGTTCCTTTGTGTGGACTGTTCATATTTATTCGCTGGGAAGTCAATCATGTTTTGTTCAGGCTTGTTTTGTTTTTCTGCTGAGCAAACACTTAAGCAACCCTTTTCTTGTAAAAACTTATTTGCATATACAGTGTGCGCCATTCAAAGTCAGCACTACGCAGATAGTTGAGATGTCTTTGCTTTCCCTCCTATGTACCATGGGAAGTAGTGGAATTCTTCCTGAAAATGCTGGTGTTGCTCATTAAGACTGCAGTATATTGTTCATGCTTAAGGACTCCATCAGTAGTTACAGATATTTTTAGTTTGTCTTGTATTGAAAGCCTGGATAGATTTTTACTATTAAATGTTCACAGTGAAATGCTTCCAAGCAATCTACAGACAAAGAATTACTCCCAGCAATTATCCACTGAATAAATCTGAAGAATGAATATGTTCACAAAAGTCACTATCGATTTGTGAACAATTAGCTGAAAGAAATAGAGGTGACACTCATCAGCTATAATAACTCATTTATGAATTCTTTGTCCAGCTTTGCTTCTGACATATGTTGCATGAAATGAGACCAAAGCTTAGATGAAAAATTACTTTAAAAAGAAGGGCAATGTTAAAGAAAATTCTTCTAGCTTCCAAAGCAGAAATTATCCCGCTATTTTAACTATTATTTATTATCAGTGATTTCAGAAGCTAGAGAAATTATTTTCCTGGAATCCTTCACTTCATGCATTAAACTGTGTTTTATTCCTAATGTATATCCAATTTTAGGTTGTTAAACTGCAATCAAAAGCACGTAGTAGGAATGGATCTGTCCATGTTATGAGATTTGAACTCCTGACATCTTTATCCACTGGAACTTGAGTGCCCAGGTAACTACTAATTATTCAAGCATTTACAACCATTACTATCAATATAATTAACACATTGTGGGATAAAAGTGAGAATGGCACTATGAAATGATCATTCCTAGCATTTGGATAGCAATCTTTCATGAAAACATTTATAAGCTGCCTAATTATTTTTCAATCAAATGAACAGAAAAATTGTTTACATTTAAGGGGAATCTCTAGAACTGAAAAGAAACGGTTTCTGGCATAAAAAATGATAAATGTTGTCTCCACATGTCCATTTCTTGAAAACACACCCCCCCCCCAACTCTTCTTCAGGGTTTTTTAAAGAAAATACCAAAAAACCCTGATCAATTGTTTAGAAAAATGTGAGACCTTTCTTTCAGTAAAACCAGATTCAGTGAAAAAGACAGGAACAAGGTTTTTCATTCAGGTCTAAAATCTCATG